CCACCGACCTCCCCTCAAACCCTTGGTCAATACTACCGTCGCTTCTGCCCGCCACAAGCTGCACTATAAGGAGTTATTGAAACTCTCCATGAGAAGGATAATTTGTTGTATCGGCAAAGCAGTGTGAGATGGTGCTGGATCGTGCAAAGCGCTGAGGAGGTGTTGCTTGATCTCGAACGTAGTTCATCTTCTCTTCGTGACCATGCTCCTCGCACTGTTGATTTCACAACTATGTACACCAATCTTCCTCATGACTGTATTTGTCATAATGTATCAAAAGCGGTTGAGGACGCTATACATACGCCTTACAACATCACACACATAGGCGTACACATCCTTCTACCCTTAACATGACTATTGAAGGGCCCCGTCAAGGGGAGTGGACAGTTCCTACGGGACCAAACACCTTGACCGTTTCCCAAATAAACTGAACAACATTTGCCTTCACGTTACGTCCAAATTCTTTACCAAATTTAAAATAAAAATCAAATATGAAAAAGAAATAATAATAAATATTAATAATGAAAATTAGAAAAAATAAAACGAGAATGGAATTATTGAGTGGGCGAGCACGTTTTTGACACCGCCATCTTTGGCGATTTTTCATTTTTTTTGGCTCTGAGAACTGCCATGAAAATTTATTTATGTGTATCTCACATAATAGAGAACCTACAAATAAGGTTTGAAAAAATAATATTTTTTTTCAAGCCCCGAAATAAAGGAAAAACAAAAAGTGAAAAGAGAGAAAAAACAAATTAGTGAGTGGGCAAACAAGTTTTGACACCACAATCTTTGCCGATTTTTCATTATTAATTGGCTTAAACCACTAGTACCTCCGCCAGTGTTGGGAAATTACTATGTTTTGCCAATTCCCGAAGTTATCGGGGGTGGGACACAGGGTCGGCATTGTCCCATATATCAGATTTTTATATTGTCCGCGAGTGAAAGAAAAAGGAAAAGAAGAAAATACTCTCTACTGCAATGATGTCGGGTAGGGTCTTGGAGGTCGTGCTTAGCGTCTTCCTCCACAGAATGCACCTCACCGGTAAGGCGGTCACATTTTGGATGTTACTGTTGTTTTTTTTTTTCTTGCTCGTGTGTTTCTTATAAGTCCCCTGCCTCATTCCGTGAATTGCTCAAGCCGTTTGTGATCTGCTAAAGTTGTGTTTTGTCAGAGGATTGTAACACTCGTCACACTGGTACTAAGGGGAATGTATCCAGCCATTTTCACAGCCGGATGCGTGTGCCCATTTTTTTCCCCATCTATTCTCTTTTTCGAATCCGACAACCTGGCCACGGGGTTGAGATGCCCTCACTGAGGGCACACTCACACTACCACTTCCAAAAATGTATACAACTGCAATCACGGTCAAAGCTTTGTTTCTTTTTTTTTTCTTTGTTCTTTTTTTTTGAGTTCACAACCGCAACTTTTTTTTTGGTTCTTTCCATGAGAGTACTAGAAAGAAAATGGAGTGGTACCTAGGCTCGACAAACTTGGAGCGCAATGAATTCAGGGTCGGCAAAAACAGGCTTGGTGGTACTAGTGGTTTAATAGAATGCCTTGACAATTAAGAGGAAAATACCTTACATTACAAAGAACTCACAAAAAAAAATTCAGAAAAAAATAGTAATATTCAGGTGCCAAAATATTTTTTTGCGGGGTCCAAACCCCTCCGGGTTCAGGCCCCATACGGGAACCCGAACGCCTGAACGTTCGGGGGTCAGCTTAGGGGCCTCCGTACGTTCGGCGTGGCAACCCTATATATATATATATCGTCATATATATATATATATAGTCAAACAGAGTTGCCCGGTAAACCGTAGGCAGAGAGGGAGAAGAGGACAACAAACGAGGGGATGTGGCAAACAGTTTCGTCGGAGTTTCAAAACCCTCAACAGTCTGCAGAATCCCCTAATTGATTACACTGTAAGTGATAATCCACCTTAACCCCGGCTGTGGTTAAACATCAACGACTGCCCGACAACTGATACCCTAAGGTGGGCACCAACCACTGCCCTCAAGGTACCAGTGGCAAAAGTCAAAGCAGACTATCACTCACCCACACCAGATGGAAAACTCTATAGACTGTCGGTTCACACCCCATCACAAGCAAGCAAAACACCCACGAAGGCAAAGAGACAAACAAACCAGAATGACACAAAACAATGTCCTCTTATTCTTTGTTTCACATTATTGTAATGACCCGCCAAAAACACAGACTGAGAACACTGCTGATTTCTGGGATTTGCCGCTGGAATGAATGCCTTGCTGAAATTCCCGCATTCTGCTGTGATTTCCATGTCTGTGTGTGTGTGCGTGCCTGCTGGTTTGCATGCCTGTTTGAGTGCTTGTCGGCTGAGTGTGTGTGTGACCCGCAAGGGTACTTGTTGGTTGAAAGGCCCCGCAGGGCCGATACTTACCTGTGGCCGTGACTTTGAGGCTTGTTGGAGGGAAAACACTCGAGTAGCGGGGGTAGGGCCGCGACACTTAGAGCAGAGGGGAAAAACACTCAAGTAGCGGGTAGGCCAGTACCACTAAAGTAGTGGTAGAAGCGTCCGGTACTTGATGAAAAAATTAAAAGTTGGCATTTTTAGAGGCCCAGTAGCGGTAGGCTAGAGGTAGGCCGGTACCAGTCCAAGTAGCCCGGGTCTAGGGCCTGTCCGAAGGATAGCAGAGCCTGCAATGATGTTTCCCTCCAAAAGGGAGGAGGTACCGGTTGCTGGGAGGCCGCTCGGCCTGGGAAGTCACCGCCCAAGAGGCCAGTAGGCCGCTATATCTTCCGGAGGAGCAAGTAGCTCCTCCTCATTTGCGGTATGCAAGGATTGGCGACATGTTGCTGGAGCAGAGTGCTGGGCTGATACAGCGCTGCTTGGAGGTGAAGGGCAGCTGGTGCTCAGCCTGGCTATGGCGAGCAGCCCAGCCTGAGGAGGAGGAAGAAGGGGGCGAAGGAGGAGAGTGGCGAGACACATACCTAGCTATGGTGCACACCGTCTTCATCACCTCGTTGGGCGCTGCATCTGGAAGGCCCCAATTGGGGTAGTACCGCACCAAGGAAGCTCGAGGCAGAGTCAGGCATGGCGGACCAGTCAGCAGCAGCATAGCTGCTTTGGGTTGTCCGTTCGACACGAGGGCAGGGCCCTCAGTAGTCCACCATAGCCTATGCATGTGAGAGGAGGCAGAAGGAGGGAAGCCATAGCTATGGCGGACTTGTTGTTGTTGTTGTTGTTGTTGTTGAGTCAGCAGTAAGAGGGAACTTTGGATATTGATTCTGGTTCATCCACTCATTGTTTTTATTATTATTGGGAGAAGAATAAGATTGTCGAAGTGAAGGAGGAGGAGGAAGGTGGAGAGAGAAGGGGGAATTGTCATTCGTCTTGCTGGTGTACATCTTCTTCTTCTTCTTCTTCTTCTTCATCTTTCTCTCTCCTCCGGTCTCTATCTCTTTGCAAGTGTTTTCATTTCTTTTGCAATTGGGTGGCATTGTCTTTCATTGTGAATTTGCACTTTGGGAATGACCAGGATCGTAACAATTGGTATCGGAGCGGACTTACTTGCTGGCGAGAGGTGTTAGTCACCCTAAACCTTATTCCAAATTAGGTTAGGGCTAACCTCATCTCGGATTAGGGTTGGGAAGTTAGGGTTAAGAGGGGCAGTGAGGTATGTGGATACTGCCCCCACCTGGTTAGGTCATGTAGGGTCGACATCAGACCTGACCAGGTTGCTTGAGTGACTGGATGGGGTGGCGAGACACAAAGGAGGCTGATTGGAGCAAGGATTGGCGACATGTTGCTTGAGCACAGCGCTGGGCTGATACAGCGCTGCTTGGAGGTGAAGGGCAGCTGGTGCTCAGCCTAGCTATGGCGAGCAGCCCAGCCTGAGGAGGAGGAAGAAGGGGGCGAAGGAGGAGAGTGGCGAGACACCTACCTAGCTATGGTGGACACCGTCTTCATCACCTTGTTGGGCGCTGCATCTGGAAGGCCCCAGTTGGGGTAGTGCCGCACCAAGGAAGCTCGAGGCAGAGTNGCTATGGTGGACACCGTCTTCATCACCTTGTTGGGCGCTGCATCTGGAAGGCCCCAGTTGGGGTAGTGCCGCACCAAGGAAGCTCGAGGCAGAGTCATGCATGGCAGACCAGTCAGCAGCAGCATAGCTGCTTTGGGTTGTCCTTTGGACAGGAGGGCAGGGCCCTCAGTAGTCTGCCATAGCCAATGCATGTGAGAGGCAGAAGGAGGGAAGCCATAGCAATGGTGGACTTGTTGTTGTTGTTGTTGTTGTTGAGTCAGCAGTAAGAGGGAACTTCCGATGTTGATTCTGGTTCATCCACTCACTGTTATTATTATTATTGGGAGAAGAATAAGACTGGCGAAGTGAAGGAGGAGGAGGAAGGTGGAGAGAGAAGGGGGAATTGTCATTGGTCTTGCTGGTGTACATCTTCTTCTTCTTCTTCTTCTTCATCTTTCTCTCTCCTCTGGTCTCTATCTCTTTGCAAGTGTTTTCATTTCTTTCGCAATTGGGTGGCATTGTCTTTCATTGTGAATTTGCACTTTGGGAATGACCAGGATCGTAAAAATTGGTATCGGAGCGGACTTACTTGCTGGCGAGAGGTGTTAGTCACCCTAAACCTAATTCCGAATTAGGCTAGGGCTAACCTCATCTCGGATTAGGGTTGGGAAGTTAGGGTTAAGAGGGGCAGCGAGGTACAAGGATACTGCCCCCACCTGGTTAGGTCATGTAGGGTCGACATCAGACCTGACCAGGTTGCTTGAGTGATTGGATGGGGTGGCGAGACACAAAGGAGGCTGATTGGAGTAAGCGAGAGGGAATAGAGTGTGAGAGGTACTCGCACCTGGAATCTGCACTTCAAGAAGACATTGAGTGACTTTTGGGCTTCCCCTCAAGAGGGAGACTTGATCGGAGGATGCCATATCTGCATCGAAGAGCTGCAAGTTGCTACTTTGGTCTTTAGACATCGGCGGGGGATCCGGCGTCGTAACAGGGGTGTAGGAAGGCCCTCTTAGTCATGCTAGGACACTTTGTGTAGTGGAAGCTAGGGGTCAGGAGGACTTATGAGAGAGGGGGGTGAGTCGTTATCCATCTTTGGAGGCCGGGCCTCACAGGTAAGTGCCATGTGACCAGGTTAGCCCATGGGAGGTTGCTTGGTGCTTCATGCCTTGTTGGGGTGTGCTGGGCTCTCTTCCTCTTCTTTGCGGTCTTGGTTGTGTGTGTGAGCATGTAGATTGCTTTCTAACCTGATGGATGGATGGATGATGTATCTGTTCTAAATGACGTATTTTTCTGCGGTGCAATGTCTTTTCATTTCTGAACGGTTGTAGGGGTGAGTCCTTGCTGAAAGTTGTCTTTTCCTTTTCAGTACGGTAGAGGCAGTTTGGGACAGACTTGGTACACCTATCTTGTTGGTCCTGGTCCACGACCTACTTGGGACCTTCGGGACTCAGTGGGACCAGGCCCAACGGGACAGGACCTTTAGGGCCCAAATCTGTCGCCGTCAATGCATCTCTTTGTTGTGTTGAACTTGGGGGACGTACGGCTAGCAAGGGCATTCCTTTCAAGGGGATCTTGACTGGTCTTAATGTATGTTATCACATACTGCCCCGCGTCTGGCTCGACGACTGTCTGCACCCCTCGAAATCTCCATTGCTACGGTTATTTTTCTTCGGCTGATTTATTGTGGTACATGTACCTTGTCAGGTTAGACAAGAGGGGATCTCCAGCTAATCTGATCAGGCCCGTTCGATAAGTCAGTCCTCTCTTCCGTTTTATTTTTTTTTATTCTTTTCTTTATTCTGCTGCGTGCCATTCTCTTAGTTCAAATGAATTGCCGCTTCGGCTAGGAGTTCTACCTTCTACTCTTGTGATTTACTGTTTGTTTCTTTTATCTGAACTATCTATGTCTGACATTGAGCCGCGTGCACAGAAAGCGGAAAGAGAGAGAAGGGAGAGAGAAGGTGTTCTTTTTGAGAGTGTGAGGAAGGGTAAGAGGAGTGTTCGTCCAAAAGTGAGCAAAGTGCTGACCCCTCTTGAGAGATCTACTGACAACCTATCCTTCGGCATGGCAGACATCACGTCCGAGCAATGGAAGGCCATGCTGGATGCAGCGACCGATAATGAGAGGCCTTTCTTTCATAAACTTTATCAGGACGCTGTACACAGAGAAAGGGAGGCAGAGGCAGCAGCCAGAGCCACAAACATTGCCGAACAGGTGGCCCTCCTTGTGGTTCCAGAATCGAATGATGACCGGTTCCGAGAGAAGATAGCTGCTGCCATAGCACCCTTGGTTCAACTGCGGACCTTGGAAGACCTTGAGTCCCGTGTGACAGCCCTGGAGCAGTGGAACCAAGAGCTGCAGCCTGAGATAGTCAGCCTCAAACAGTCCCAACTGTCTGCCCCCCGTCCTCCTAACCCTCGACCTGCTGCAGTCCCAGTCTCTCACCCTAACACAGACCTCATGACAAGAGTGAGTGGAACTGTGACAAGCGCAGGAACCGGTGCGAGCTCCTCAAGCGGCAGCGCCGACAGTTCTGCACTGGTCATAGTCCCAAATGCAGGAACATCAGCCCAAAATGCCACAGTTCTTATCGGCGTACAGTACAACGGTCCCATAGTGGACAAGCGGGTGGCCGCTCTGCCGTCCAAATACGACGGGAAAGGGGATATCACCTCTTGGATTAGCTCCATGCGCTCATACTTCGAGGTACTGCGAACACCGCAGGAAGACCGAAGCATGATCATGGGCACTAATATTGAGCCCGTCGTACGGAGTTTCATRGAACYCCAAGCTGTYACARCAGGTTATGAGAGGATTGACCTGACCGAGTGGTTGAAAGTGACTCCTGTACGTACTCTTGAGGACCTCCTCATCACGCAGTATCAAGATAAGCACGCTGCGCTCAAGGCAAGACTGAAGCTTGAGGCCCTCAAGGGCCAAACGTGGAGGACTTCGATGCAGGCTTTGGAGCAGTACTTGACTGGTCTGTTCACCAATCCAAACCTGGGATTGACTGACGTGTCTTGCATGGATGTAGTCATGGGAGTGGCCCCTAAAGAATACGTCTCCCAGCTAGGACTCAAAGACCATACCACTTGGCGAGAGCTACTGACCAATCTAGTCAACCTAGAAGCCAAGAAACTCGCCAGGCGTGTAAAGGCACCTGCTGCAGGTAGAACCTCGCAACGCAAGCGGTACGGAAGCAGCAACCAACTTGCCATGCATGAACATCGAGGGGTTGAGGATCAGTCCTATGCGGATGATCTGTCTCTGGATGACGATCTAGAGCCAGACTCCGACGTGGGCTGTTCTACATCAACCCTTGAGTCTGACGTGAACACTGAGGAAAAATGTAATGCTTTTAAAAAGACTGCTTCAAACAAGGGGCCTAACCGTAGTTCGGGTAAGGGAACTATAGCACAGCTCCCCAAGAATGCAAAGATCCCTGAGAAACCGGAGGATGTTTCTACCAAGCCTTGGGAAGCCCTCCGCATCAATCAAAAGGAATGGGAAAGAAGATCCAAACTGCGCGTGTGCTTGCATTGTCAAAAGCCTGAGCATGCTGTGCAGGATTGTTATCGTCTGCAGGGAAACAGGCAAAGGGCGTAGAGGAGTTATCAACACTCTCTACAACAAGGGAAGCTGAACAGTCAGTTGCAGGTCCCTCCAAGGAGCCTGAATCTGATCAACAACTTGCTCTTGAAGCCCGAACTAATGCTGAATCCAAAGTTGGTGCAGTCCAAGTACTTCACACTGAGCCTTAGGAAGAGACTAAGGAAGTGGACTTCCACTCTCACCTGGAACATTGGCTGCAACTCAAGCAGCAACGCCGTGTTCAAGGGAGTGTGGAGGTGACCTTCTTTAAGTTACTCATTAACCGCCAATACATCCGTGTGCTGATTGATAGTGGTTCAACGACTAACTTTTTTTCTCCTAACGGGATTCGTAAGGCGGGCCTGGAAATGAAGCAAGTGGAATTGCAGAACCCTTGTCAGACCCAGGTGGGCAACCAAGAGGTTGTCACCTCAACACATGCTGTCAAAGGTGTGCTGGTAACCACCACAGGCACTGGGCCTGTTTACTTCGGACTGAGGCTCAGCCTCGTGGGGCCTACCGGAAGCTTCTGGGCCAAGGCCCAGTACCGCATTACTGCACGCAGGAGCTGGCCACTTCAATATAGAGAAGGGCCTGCCTACGCATGGCACATTCGTGAACAGGCTGCATGCTGCGCTAACGCTGGCCAGGCTCACGCGCGCACGGGCGAGCTGGAAGGAGCAGGCAGCCATAGCCGAGCTGCGCTGCTGTATGTTGGATGGGGCGCATGGTGGTCCTTGGGTGCAAGTGGCATCTGTGAGTTGGGAAACGGGGACCTGGTGCTTGACGCGTGCGGCGTTCGCCGAGATCTGCTCGTACTTCGGAAGCTGTTGACGTCATCAACGGCATTGTAGTTTAGGCTAGATAGGATCTTCCATTCGTAGTCTGGGCGCCGAGCGCCAGATAGGATATCAGCATTGGTTCTTCGTTGATGATGATGAAATTATTCTAGAATTATCAATCATGAGCTTTTGGTGTGCTCTTATTTGGTGAAACTCGTGATGCAATTCAACTATTGGTTCGAGGTCGCGACTATCTGGTCTCATGTGTATGATGCTGTTTGATTGCTGAAGTTCGCTATTGCTGATCTTCCTTGCAATTTGGTATTGAAGTTGTGGTTCGGTGAGCTAATTTGGCGCTTATCTTCTGCCTAATGCGGTACATGCACGCGGTGTGTGCGGTGAGCGACCGTGTCGTGGGACGTGTGTAGTGAGGAGGGCGAAGATAAGTAGGCGACCCAGGTGGGGAGGGGTTCGCCAGGAAGGTTAAGCGGTGAGTATCACCTGGAATCTACCCCTCCCTCAGTTCTTCCTGAATGTCTCTTGTCGTCAACATCCCTAAGCAATCCGGACAGCGTGCTTGTCTAAAGGTGTGCACACGGCCCACCCCTGTGCCCCGAGTCCTGCTGAGCTGGCCAGCCCTGCACAGTATTTATCCTCACATGCAGCGAGCCTTACACCGACCAATTGGCTGATCAGGAGGCGTTTATATGGACGGCCCCAGATGCTCCACGTGAAGATTGACGACTCTCAAGGTTGAGCGCACACGACTCCTCACATGAGAGGACTCTCAAGACAGAACACATCCTCACGGTTAGAAGTGTCGAAGAAGGTAGATAAGGTTAGGTGCAAAGTTCCTCAAAATAGCTGCCCCCAACCACAGATATTCTCACCAGATGACCCGATGTTGATTGTGATGACCAATCGCTGCTTCGACACAACTAGCAGAACTGTTCTTTGTTCATTGTGCTTTCTGTTTGCGAACTAGTCAAAGTCAAAGTAGTTCGTTTGTAGGAATCTGAACTTTCCTGTTGAACCCAAATGTATATACTCTGACGTAGTCACCGATTAATTAACCGGTCTGTGCATGACGCTGCGGTAGGCATCGGATGAGTGTCCTAGTGCAGACGGTGTGCAGCCTGTAGCTTACGAGCGACAGGGAGGTCCCACAACCGGACGATAGGATCTTGGGATCGGCTAGATGCCCAGTAACCCACTTGGCCTTAGGACCAGAGGGTGACAAGTTACTGTTCCACCAGCTTAAGGAGAGGCAGCAGCCGCAGAGGAGAGCTAGGGCAGCAGAGTCCAGCAAGGCATTCGCAAGCGAAGCCGCAGCTTCAGCAGCCACAGCAACTTCTGCGCAGTAGAGTTCCCAAGCTAGCAGTTCAGGATCCGTAGGGTCAATGGTCGCGCAGACCCAGAGTCAATCCACTGGCGTGATGGCAAGCCAGCCTATTGTGTTGACCCTCGAAGAGGTCGCCATGCAGCGAGCAGCTCATCGCGAGGCATAGCTACAGCAGGCTCTAGGAGAGATTAGGGCGGAAAAAGAAAGAATGATTAGAAGAAGAGCCAGGCTGCAGCGGAGACAAGCGGACATTAGCGAATTAGAGGAGATGGACCCGACAGAGTTGGATGATGAAGTGAAGACCCTGAGGTCGGTCTTGCTAGGTGTAGTAGAGATGCAAGATCACCAAACGACGATCTTACAGGACATCCAGCAGAGCCTGGCCGTGTTGGTCGGGCGAGCGCAAGTGGCACCATCATCGTCCGGGCCCGATGTGTGGCCCGTTGTACATCCTCCTCCTTTTCTCCCACCGGTGACTGGGGTATCCCCATATACCGCTCCAATATCGGTTCAGCCCGTTTCCCTGGGTATGCCTTTAACATGCGGGTTCTCAACAGGTCCTAGTGTACAGATTCCTGTACAGACAGTGTTCTCCCAACCTCCATCGCAGGTTGCTGTAAGCGGGCAGCCTGCTGTCTCGCAGCCTGCACAGTCGTACGGTACACAGCCCCAGCAGCAGCCAGTGCAGCAGCCTGCACCACAAAGTCCACAGCCCGGAATGGTGCAGGTACCGAGACAAAGTCAATGGGTTCCAAAGACGACCATCGCCTCCTAAACCCTTTACAGGGGATAAGCGGGGTGAAGACCTCGACACATGGTTGAGGGCAGTGCCGGTCTATGTCAAGTGCAAACTTACCTTGCCGCACGAGGAAGTGCTTGTGGCTGCCTCCTATCTAGAGGGGAGTGCACCAAGATGGTTGAGTGGTTTAGTGCAGCTCCAGGGGTACGGTCATGACTTTTGCGCTTGGGCGGTCACCCAAAAACTGGACTACTTTCTAAAGTTGGGGGAAGACAGGTGGCATGATCGTCGGGAGGCCCAAAAGGTTACTGACGCGATCTTGACACTGCATACGAGGCTGTTTAAGTCGATAAGAGAAACCACTGACGTTGTAGAGCATCTGATCTGTGTCCCTGGGGTTCGCTATGACCCCATGTTTTACTCACCTTCTGCCTGAGATGCTTTCCTATGCCTCTCAAGAATCAATTGGTAGGTCAGACCAACATCAACATGCACAACTTTCCCTCGTTCAGCAACAAGGCCCTAGACCTGGAAGCAAAGATAGGGCATGGTCAGACACCCACAACGGATGGTAGGAGAAAGTCACCGCCTCCCAACTGGAAAGCGAAGGGACGCATCATGTCGTAGTTCAATGCTGCCCCCAACCATGGATGGAGAGGTCGACATCGATGACATCGTTGACCACAAGGAAATGCCAGTTCCAAGACCGGCAGGTAGGGGACGTCCTCCAAAACCGAGGATGCAGTACAGGGTTCGGTTCAGACATCACATTGATCAAAAGGAAGATAGATGGTTCATAAGGGAGGAACTAATGCAAACCGCTCTACAGGTTGTCGCTCACTACGAGAAGTCTATGCAGAAGGGAAAACGCTAGATTATCGAAAACTGAACTTCTCAGAGGATTATCGAAGTATGGAGGAGGGAATGCGAGGCACAGGGCCTCGATATGCCCTACAGGGCCTATTTTTCACACAGTAGGCCGCCCTAAGGGAAGGCACGCACGACCAAGGCCTACAGACCATTTTGGGGTCACCACGCAACTGGGGAAATTCAGGCAGCGCCAGTTGGTTGGAAGCGCCCAGGCCCAGGCTGCCTTTTATTGCATGTAAACGAGGCAGGCCCTGGGCCGGATACACAAAGTGGACCGAACAAAGGCCAAGGGCAGTTCGGTGCTGGTAACCACCACAGGCCCTGCGCTTGTTTACTTCGGACTTAGGCTCAACCTCGAGGGGCCTACCGGAAGCTTATGGGCCAGGGCCCAGTACCGCATTACTGCACGCATCAGCAGGCCACTTCGATATAGAGAAGCGCCTGCCTACGCATGGCACATTCGGGCACTCGCTGCATGCTGCGCAAGCGCTGCTGCGCTAACGCTGGCCAGGCTCACGAGCTCACGGGCAAGCTGGAAGGAGCAGGCAGCCATAGCCGAGCTGCACTGCTGTATGCTGGATGGGGCGCATGGTGGTCCTTGGGTGCAAGTGGCATCTTTGAGTTGGGGAACGGGGTTGTGAGTGATACAAGAGATATACCTGGTGCTTGACGCGTGCGGCATTGGCCGAGATTTGCTCGTACTTGGGAAGTTGTTGACGTCATAGCGGCATTGTAGTCTAGGCTAGATAGGATCTGCCATTCGTAGTCTGGGGGCCGAGCGCGAGATAGGATATCAGCATTGGTTCTTCATTGATGATGATGAAACTACTTGAGCATTGTCAATTATGAGCTTTTGGTGTGCTCTTATTTGGTGAAACTCGTGATGCAATTCTGCTATTGGTTCGAGGTCGCGACTATCTGGTCTCATGTGTATGATGGTGTTTGATTGCTGAAGTTCGCTATTGCTCATCTTCCTTGCATTTTGAACCGGACTGCATTTTTAGGTCGGTGCATTGGGAGCGAAATAGTTGTGTAAAGGCGGATATTTAATGATTTCTCTTTCCGACCACTCGTCAGAGATTGGCTGATGGGGGTGTGTGTTTGAAATATTGGGAAATCGAAAATCGTAACAATTTCTGACCCCGATCACATGTTACTATGATGTTAGAGATTTTTTTTTTATTTATTTAATGGGCGATGGCCTTGAGGTATTATCATCGGACTAACCAGCCCAAGTAAATTCAATATTGTGTCTAATCTGACATCGGGTGGCCTTTTCAGCCCAGGGTGGCCTTGATTGCCTTCAGGGAACCCCCAATGCGGGACACCGACCAGGGGATAGTCGGTGGCAGAGGGACCGAGCATCATCTGGGGGGAGGGGTAATCGGGGAGGCACATGTTAGAGATTGACTGATGGGTCTATGTCTCATATATTCGAAAATAAAAAATCGTAATGGTGTCCTTCGGGGCATAAGTCAAAATTGGAATGATACAAAGAAGATTAGCATAACACCTGGTAAGGATGACACACATTAGTCGAGAAATGGTGGGAAAAAAAAAAACGAAAAATCTCGTAATGGTTTCTGACAACGGTCGTGCATGTGATTTTGAGGAGATCACAAAAACCGAAATTGGAAAACATTCATGTGTCACA